AGTGGGCGGAGTATAAAAGGAGGTGGTAATGCTTGTTCTGGCACTTGGTTTCCTCTTCCTGCTCCCACTACGTGGCTCTCAACCTGTGGGGTTTGGTTGTGGCTGATCGTGTTGTGCGTGTTGCTCTGGCCTTCATGTGGTAGGCGTCTTCCTTTTGTTGCACTATAGTTGATCTTTAGAGTCCTCATCTTGATGTGATGCAGGTGAACACCAAACTTGCTGCTTTCTTCCTCCTCCTCCTGTGCATGTGTGTGTCAGCAGGTGAGTAGTTGAAACCCAACTCCTTGTCAGCTTCAAATTTACTGTCGTGATTAGTTGACTGAATTTTGTAGGTCCTTTGCTGAAGTTGGGATCACCGCTGTTTCGTCTCTATGGAAGATCACCGTTCTGTCTCCACTGAGGTTACAATCGTTGTCCCTGTGGAAGATTAACGGTGTTCTGGCTCTGAAGGACCACGGCTGTTTGGGTTCTCCAGACTGTTGCACTTCATTGTCCTCGGACGCCTGTGGCTGCTTCACTGGACTTCACCACCAATTGTTTGGAGTGCGGTCCCTGAGCACTCGTGTCAGTGGCGTGGGTAACTGGCCACACTCCTGGGTCTGGACTACAACTTTTAAAATTAAGTATTTGATTGTTAAAGTTCTCCTCTTTAGTTTTCCTTGTTTGGTTACAGCCCATGTACTTTGTAAATTGTAATGTTTAATTTAGATATTTAGTTGGGCTGGCCTTTATTTGTTTCACTTTCTTTTTGATTAGACTTAGTTTGGTGGTTCCCCTGTATTTTGTTTTTTCCAGTTGCTGGGGTCTGGGGCTGTGCTGGTTTGGTGGCCTTCATCCGGTAACCTCAGCTTCTGGGTTTTGTGTTGTTTCCTTCCCCTTTTTTTTTTTTTTTTTTTCCAATAAGATTTTAAAGAGTATTTATAAAAAATGTACCTAAATAAACTCTTATTTTGCAAGCCTGTCTCAGATGTCACAAGTATTTTTGTAAGGTCTACGAACCGGTGTGCCTTGTAAATCACATAATTTTAATGAGAACCACTTGGTACCACCACGTGAAAAAGGTCTATACCGAAGGCAGTAAATGCATCAAAATCTTAATATATGTTACAGTAAAGATGGGGTTCATGCTTTGAAATTATATTTTACGGTTCAGTTTTTCTTACACCACTAAAATCATTTAAACAAAGGTGGGGGGCGGGGGGAGACGTTCTAATTCCTTTCATACTGGACTCTTTATGACTTTGACACTCTCCATTTTTAATTTTCACAAAAAAAAAATTTTAAATCCCCATTTTATTTTTTGTCCAAAGAATTCTGATATTTTGAAGAAAAAAAAAAATTGATGCTTCTTTCCAATTTCTATTATTTATGCTGTGGGTTTGTTTCAAATGGCCCTTTCATTGAGCAACATTGCTATCCTTTGTTATTTAATTACCGTTAAACACCCACAGAGCATATCGGTAATCTGTATTCTATTTGCTTGAACAATTTTAGTCTTTCCTTCCAAATTTTTTTAACTGCATTCTTCGCTCTTCCTTCTGCTTGTAAATGAGAGGTTTTGTTTTTATTTATTTTAGCAAAGATCACACCCATCGGGTACAAATAATCCATTTATTTCTTTTTATAAGTAGATCGATCTTGTCAAGTGAAAATATGAAGGTAAGAGGCTCTAACAGACAGGCACAGTTGCATATTATAACCACAACCATTAAAAAAAAACTTAACTTTTTTTGTCTATCGATTACAAAAGAACTGACTGATGCCAAGAACTGAACCTTGTGGGACTCCTTGCATCAGAAGTAAATCTAGCAATTAGGATGTTGAGCTCTTTAAAACTAGTTATAAACTTTTTGATGGTATTTGGATGTTTTTACTGGTTTGGTCACTAAAGAAGTTTATTCTGTCTGTGACTGAATCAAATCCAACCGCAGGTGGGATTTATCTCTAGAATTTGGACTTGCATAAAATTCGAGAAATTCTGAGGCAAGTTAACAATGGTGTCTTACCTTGGAAAAAAAATATCTGATATCTTTTAAAACAATAGTTTAAGTGTGAAGTTTGGAAAATGAGCAAATTTTGAAGACAATCTCTTTTTTAATGTTAAATTTAAAGCATGTTTTAGGTTTTATGTGCGTTAGACAGAATTAGATCTGACAGTTTGCAATCTTCGAAGTTCATTCTTGTCTTTTGAGGAGCATTTTGTTTGGAAAGCTAAAACAGGTTGTGCTTTTGGGCCACAGGTTCAAACAGGTTTCGTAAGACGGTAAATAGTTTTTTTGTTTTTTTTTGGCAGAGCACAAGTTTTAATTAAAGAATGTGAAGTAGATTTATGCTTCGTTTGGTCACAAAAACACAGACACCAAGGGCCTTTTCCACGTTTTTCTGTTTTTGTTTGTGCTTTGTTTGTTAGCAAAACGGCTCAGCGTGAGGGAAACTGAGCGCTACCTCTGTAGCTTTTTAGCTAACGCGTCTGTATTGTGCGCCGCTAGCTTAGCGCTACGTCAGTGCCGGCAGCTGTCGACAGTGAGGGGAGGAGTTCGGTAGGCAGGGCTCTCGGTCCTGTTGACAGGGCGGGGCGCCCGCTTGTATAGTGGTCTGGGCAACCTTTTGATTCAAGATGGCCGCCACAACAACGCAATCTTAACAATGGCGACAACTCGGCCAATTTCACAGACTCTGAGCTATGGTTCGATGTGGTAGGAGCTGATAATTATCCTAATTTATACTCTTGACATCCAACTGACCACAACGCTGTTTGTCTGTTAGCAAAATATCAACAATTTGAAACTCTCATATAACTGAGTCACCAATTCTCCGCTCCGTTTCACCTACAGATGTTGTTTCACTTAAACAAAGCTGACCTTCTGCAGAAACACTCAGTTGGTTGCAGCTCCGCAGACTCAAGAAGTATTTTGGACAAAAGACTAAACGTTTCAACAAAGAAGAACCCGTCCAAAGGACCTGACTCAACCTTGTTGGTTGGCACGTTGCCACCGTTTGTAGAAAATGAAGTCAAACCAGTTTTCAGTTTGCTAATGATACAGTTCGTGCAAGCAAGGGACTTTCACAAATCTCAGATTTCTTTATGGCAGAGGAAACTTCTCTGCGTTATCTCCGAGCACTCGATGCACATCCTCTGAACTACTCAACACTGAACGAGACACACCTCAGAACTGCAAATACAGGTCGACGGTTAAGTTAAAGGCTGCTACGTGTTTGGCATCGGCTTCACAAAGGCGGGATCGAGTTCCTGCACACGTAACACCTCTTTTTCCTCTGGAGGGGTGGACACTGTAAAAAGGCTCAGCAGCAGCAGCAGCCTTTCACTCAGCCTTCCTGTCATTACCTGTACAGTCCAGGTGAGTACTTTACACTTCATCTTCATTTCCAGCTCAATTTGTGTGCAGGTTTTAGCCTCACATTCAATGCAATGAACCTTTATAGGCTTTTATGATCATTTTAATATAATCTACTGTATGTAGTGACTGTCAGTGTTTGCTGTATCTCACCGATGGATGTTCCAGATGTTTTAGTGTCTCAGAGGATAAGCTGAATCTTTTCATTGCTGCTGATGGGAAAGTGTTTTTAGATTAAAATATTAGTTGTGGGGTGTCTGTAGATCAAACACAAGGTCACAAGGTGTGTCCCTCAACCAATGAGGAGCGACGCCAAAACCAATACCAAACAGTGTGAATTAATAGAAGAAATTTTATTAGCATAGTTACCTAGCATGTTCTGCTAACAGAAACAACAAAAACTGGAAAATAAACCAAAATACATTTTAAAAAGTTAAACAGTTGTTAGGATTTGTGAGGGAGGACATCCACTAGTGGAGTCCAACACCAATTACTTTACTGTATATTCATGGTGTTCGGTGTTAAAGTTAACCATTTTCACAAAACATTGTGGAAATTCGCAAAAGCAACTTTTCTCTATTAAAAACGACTATTTTAATTTCAAACAGCATATTTTTGGTGCAGAACTTGGAGATTATAACAAAAACAATCAAGTCATATCTAAATTAAACACACTTTAAATACAAATCTGAGCACTTGGTAAAATTTCAGCATCCTCTGTGAAAATCTGGATTCAGAAGACAGTGAGGGGAAGTTTTTTTTACTTGAATAAAAGTTTTTGTTTAGCTTAAATGCTGAAAAATCAGTACATGTAGGTTTCTTTTTGTGCCTCCCCCAAAATAAATTTTTATCATCTAACCGTTCAAACCCTGTCCCATACATTTTACTATACGTTACAGAGAGCGTTTAACGTTAATTTGTAAAGGATTGTATTATGGGGTGTAGTTCAGAAGGTCCGGGTGTGTTAAAAAATCCCTTCTCATTAGCCCCCGAGGCCAGACTGCCTCAGATGTTCAGATGTAAGAAAACAAAATTCCTTTTAGTTTCTACATCTCTTGTCGATGGGAGGAGATGATGACATTCCAGTCTAACATGTTTGGAACAAAGAGGCAAAAGGAGCCAAATGTTTTTCTCACACTGTGCCAGAGTCATTAAATTTCTTGCTTTCTTGTCTGAAGTTTTAAAGACAAGCAGCATTCTTGTTCAGCTTCAGTCTCTTAAGGACGTCGTGAATCGGAGAAATTGACCTTTATTTGGCGTCTTACGAAACTCTGGAGCTAGCAGTACATAACACCGCGTGATACTTACTGCGCTTGGCATGTACATGCCTGGAAGGTACAAGGTATGTATCATGTTGGTGAAGATCCAAACCCAAATGCAAAAACCAAAAACTCAAAGTGCTCGAAGGTAAAATACAAACAAAACTTATTTAGAAAGGAAAGCAAAGAGCTGCACGGTGGCAAAAACAACACACTAGAAAAACCACCGAAAAAATTTGTAAGGGACAACATGAACTTGTTGAAGGAAGTTCAAGTTGTAAGTCACAGTCCACAGACAAGGGGAAAAGTGACAGTATTTAAAGAGACACTAACAAAAAACAAAGAAAATTACAAGGATAATAAAGAAACCAAAATCCAACAGTAATAAACCCAGGGAAAACTAAAAAAGTCCAACATGATAGTCTAACGGACCACTCTGGGCATGCCTACAACATGAGGCAGAATTCAGGAAGATGGCCAGGGGCCCGTCCAGCAAGGCCGATGAGAGGCATCCTCCTGGACCCCCTCGTTGAGACCGAGAAGAGGCATTGCAGCAGAGGGAGTTACAGCGGGTGACAAAACCACAGAAGAGCCAGTGGACACTGCAGCAAAAAAGGAAGCAGTGGGCATCAAAGAACCCTTTCCGAAGCTATAGCAGCTCGAAGACTCAGGTGGTAGAGTCGTTGTCTTCAGCAACCTTCTTGAAGGTTCAGGCAGCACCGGAGGCTGAGGTGGCAATGGAGGAGGCTGGCGAGCTAACTTCTGTTCCATTTCGGCTCGCAGCTTCATAACTCTCCAGTAGGCTACCCTGAACTTGGAGACAGCAAGGTTCTCAGGATGGGACATAAAAAGTTGTTCCACTTGGTCACAGGTGAAGATCTTGCTTGGCAGGTGACTCGCAGGGCAATGCTGTATCCTGGAATCTGCAACTCTAGGACTGATATTTCCAGGTCAGTCAGGGCTGGAGGCAGTATTGCAAGAACTCAACTGCTCACAGGAGGTGGTCAAAAAACTTAAGGAGGTGGAAGTACAGTAGAGAATCAAAGAAAAACTTACAGCTGGGGAGGGAGATCTCATTACCTGCTGGGTGTCAGGTGCCATATGGCGATACAGGGACACTTTCTCTTTTTTTCTCCAAGTGGTTCTTTCAACCTCTTGGGCAAAAACTCTGAAGGAGTTCTTGATCTGGGGATCGTGTATTCAGTACACGGTCCCCAAAGAACCCATGATAGAATGCACTGTATCCTATCATGTTTGGTGAGAATTCAAACCCAAATGCAAAAACCAAAACTCAAAATGCTCGAAGGTATTATAAAACTAATTTGTTTACAAAGAAATTTAAAAAACACTCAATAGAAAAAAGACTGAAAAACTGCATTTAAAGAGACACCAATGACAGATGACAAACACCTGGGGAAAGACAACGAGGATCAGGTGAGAGTGGGAGGGACGGGAGCTGAACTACATGAGGGAAGAAACACTGGGGAGGCTGGAAACAAGTAAAACACCATCAAAAAAAACTAAATGACACCAGATACAAACCATGACAGTATGTACTGTAGGTGCCAGGTATGTGCCTGGTGAGCACCAGACACTTAATCAGTATGTACCAGGTTGTAAATACTAGATGCATACCCTATAAGTGGCAAATATTTATCCAGTAATATGTACTAGGTACATACCAGTAAGTCCTAGATACGTACATGGTTAATACAAAGTACATACCATATACATACCAGGTAAATACATATAAACCATACCATACCACTTTATTTATAAAGCACTTAAAACAGCTACAAGGCCAACTAAAGTGCTGTACAGACAGAACAACAGGTAACACACCAAGCAAAATACAAAATGAGGTAAATCAGAATAAAGACATAAAAACTATGCAGATAATGACGACAAACCAATGTGGAGCATACAGGATCAAAAACACAGATCATCTGGTGTTGAAAGCTACTGAATAGTAGTGGGTTTTTAAACGGGACTTGAAAACCGAGAGGGAGGGGCCTGTCTGACAAGCAGAGGCAACTCGTTCCAAAGTCTTGGTCCTGCTACAGAGAAGGCCCTGTCACCTCTGCGCTTAAGATGAGTTCCTGGAACTGTGAGGAGCAACTGGTCCGCTGACCTCAGGGAGCGTGGTGGGACATACGGTTGTAGCAAATCAGAGAGATGGGGGGGGGGGGACACTGTTCAGTGATTTGTAGACATACATGAGTATTTTGAACTGGATTCGAAAGTGAACCGGTAACCAGTGCAGTGAGGCCAAAACTGGTGTAATGTGTTCTCTTTTGCCTGTACTGGTTAAAAATGGGGCTGCTGCATTCTGGACCAGTTGTAGTCGTGCAATGGAGGTCTGACTGATACCAAACAGGAGTGAATTGCAGTAATCAAGCCTAGATGTAATGAATGCATGTATTACTGCCTCCAGGTTATTTTTGGACAATATGGGCTTCAGTTTAGACAGCCGCCTCAGTTGGAAGAAGCATGACTTAACAATCATGTTTACATGATTAAGTGCGTAAGTACTAGCTACATACCTAGTAAATATTAGTTATGTACCAGGTAAATACAAGGTACATACCAGTAAGTGCTAAGTATTGCATCAGGTAAATGGTAGGTATAGACCAAGTAAGGGCAAAATGTTGTAGAGGTAGGACAGCCAACTTGGCCAATCAAACCAGGTTCAACTCCCTGCCATGCCCACATGTCATGGTGTCTTTGAGCAAGACACCTAATCCCTAATTGCTCCACAGATACTTACATAGCTGCTCACTGCTCCACCTGGGTGTTTCTCACTTGTGATGGGTTAAATGAAGAGAACCAATTTCATCATGGTATAGAAACATACAATGACAACACATAGCACTTTTTTAAAATACTGGGTACATACCAAGTAAATACTTAGTACATACCCAGTAAGTTCTAGATACTGTACTTATATCTTATACTTGTATCTAGACTGTACTTCTATAGTGCCTTTCTATCTGATCAAGATACTCGAAGCGCTTTACACGACAATCTGTGTCCTCATTTACCCATTCATACAGCACTCTACTAGATCTCTACAAAGCTAATTGAACAAATCATTCTAAAGAGACTAATCAGAGCTTTATCACATTCATACACTGATGGGACACACATCAGAGGCAATGAGGAGTTCAATGTCTTACCCAGGGACACTTCGGCATGTGACTGCTGGTGGATTCGAACCCCCAACTCTTGCATTGGAGGACGACTGCTCTAACCACTCAGCCACAGCCGCACCATTTAAGTAAATGGTAAATAATAAGTACATACCAGGTACATACTCAGTAGGTATTGCATGCATAAATGGTAAATACTGAGTACATACTCTGTATTTGCCATTTATGTATGTAGTGCCTACCAAGTACCAGTTATGTACCAGGTAAGTACTAGGTATATATCAGGTGACTACTAGGAATGTACCAGGTGAATACTATGAATGTATCAAGTAAATACTAGGTACATACCAGTAAGTATTTGATATGTACCCAGAAAGTACTAGATATGTATCAGGTAAACACTGGTACATACCCAGAAAGTAATGTGCATGTACCAGGTAAATACTTAAAAAATACCCAGTAAATACTAGGTATGTACAAGGTAATATGTATTTCTGTTGAATCTCTATATTTAAATGTGTTTTTTTGTTGTCAAATTTTACAAATCAACACAAACTGCCAGAAGTATTAAAGTTGCATTCCTTCTGAAATTGGAAGTAAATCAAAAAATGTTCTTCTTCCGGCTGCTCCCTTCTTCAGGGGTCACCACAGCGAACTGAGTCGCACGAAGACTTAGCAATTATTTTTTATGCCGGATGTCCTTCCTGACACAACCACAGACCACTGAGCTACCACAGCCTCTGTGTGGAGCAGAGAGCTGCCATCTAGGGTGCCCGGGGGAACAGGTGGTGGGGGTTAAGGGCCTTGCTCAAGGGCCCAGAGTGGGGCAAATGAGGATGGAGACAGGTGTGGGTGCTTCACCAATCCCACCCACATTTTGATGTTGTCGGTACTGGGAGTTGAACCAACGATCACAGGCTCACCTTCTCTAACCTCTGTGCCAACACTCCCACTACTCCCACCACTAAAAATATTTTATTCAATTGTTTTGCACATGGGAGCAGCTGATTTAATGTTCAAAGAGCCAAAAAATGCCCCGAGTAAGACATTAAATCATCCAGAGATGAATCAGTTGGAAAGGCAGATCAGAAGAAACAAGTCCATGGTCGTCATGGAAACACTGAAATATATGTCCAGTAAGAACAAGTGCCTGTAAAACTGTCAGATCCTCTGAGGGTACCCTTCTCAAAATGTAGCTGCAGGAAAACATCCCCAACTCTAATTTTTCTGACAGATACCATTTTTGCACATCTGATTACACCCAGATAGTTGATTTCTACAAATATCCGTTAATATACGATCACATTTTTGGGAATTTCTCTTAGCCAGTTTGATGTTTTAAAAACCTTAGTTCTAATAAAAGTTGATTTCCTGGTTGCATAGGATGAAGAAGAAGCTGATCCTTGATGTAGACACGGGCGTTGATGATGCTCAGGCCATCATGATCGCCCTCTCCTCCCCAAATGTGGAGGTTTTGGGGATCACCTGCTGCCATGGCAACACACCTTTGAAGAACGTCGTCAAGAACACCCTGCGTGTCCTGAAAGTTTGCAAAAGGCTGGACGTAAGAGCCCAGAGATTCGTTTTTAGTGCAACTTTTACCTGCGTGGCAGGTATGTGAGGCCTGTATTGTCCCGTCTGTCCAACAGATTCCGGTCTACAAGGGTTTCTCACAGCCCCTACTGGACAACAAGCGACATGCCGGGGATTACCACGGAATTGACGGACTGGGGGATGTCCCGGATCTGGATGCTCCAGGCATAGAGTTGCTGCAGAAGGAAGAAGCAGTGCAGGCCATGATCAAGATCGCAAAGCAACATCCTGAAGAGGTGAGGTGAACCAGAAAAGGTTTATCACACAAATATATTCACCACAGCAGGTCAACAAACAGTTTGCATTCTTTTTGAAAGTCGTGGACAGATTTTCTAAGATTTCAGTTAATTTGTTTGGCAGTACAGGTCAGTGTCATCCATTTGTAGTCTCAGTCCCCAATATAGCAGAAACCTGGACTCTGAATGCTGAGAGAGAAAAAGATTATGTGCATTTGAAATGGTGCACCAGTCCTCTTACGCTACAGAGGCTGACAGTGTCCATGTCCTCATCGGAGACCAGTTCCTTTGTGACACGGATCAAGAGGAAGAAATAACCAAAAATACTAGGTATGTGCCCAGTACGTACTAGATATATACCAGGTGAATACTAGAGATGTATCAGTTACCAAGAGAAAGAAACTGAAGTGGCTTGTAGAGATGGTCAAGGGAACTTTGACAAACGTGATCCTCTAAGGAATAGCTGAAGGAAACTGTGAAAGGTGAAAATGGCAGATGGCAATTGTACATGGACAGGAATTCCTTTCCACGCACTGCCTGATCTTCCTAAAGATCAGTCAAGGTGGAGTTTGTTGGTGAAAAATGTTGCTGCCACAGCAATAGGCTAAGATGATGATAAAGAAACCAATAAAGTAGGGAATGTTTTGACAGCTCCCTTCTTTAGGGGTCGCCACAGCGAGCGAACTTGCGTAAAAGATTTGACAATTGTTTTACACCGGATGCCCCTCCTGACGCAACCTGGGCTCAAACGTGCAACCTCAGGATCACAAGACTGCAGCATTGACTACCACAGCTGTCAAGGGGGCTTTGCTTCTTCTCAAAGACCCTGAGCATTAAAATAAAGTTGATTGTTTATTCTTCTGCTGTCTGCAGGTGATCCTTGTGGCCACCGGACCGCTCACCAACCTGGCGGTCGCCGTGCAACTAGACCCCTCTTTCCCCAAGAGATTGAAGGCACTCTACGTCATGGGTGGAAACACCGACTGTGGGTTTAAGACAACTGCATGTCTACAGCCTGCTGTGGTTTCCCTCACTTCACTTCACTTTCCTTCCTTCCTTCCTTCCTTTCCTTCAGCCAGGGGGAACACCACGGTGTGCGGAGAGTTTAACTTCGTAGCTGACCCCGAGGCGGCTTACGCGGTGTTGGAGCGCTTCAACTGCCCCACCTACATTGCCACGTGGGAGTTCAGCTGCAGGTGCAGCCTTCCATGGGTGAGGTTGATAGCTTCATTCTGGACAGGGAACTGCAGTGGGTGCAGTTATGTGAAACAAGATTTGATCCGCGTTTACCTTTTTTTTCCTAGTCATTCTGCGATGAGTTGTTCTCCCAAAAATCAGAGAAAGCTGCCTTCATGAAAAAGATATCGGCCCTTTCAATGGCGGTGAGAACAGTTCACATCAAAAATAGAAGAGCGTCTGCTACTACAGTCTCGAAACATTCAAACGAATCCTGTTTACTGTTTGCAGAAAGCTAAATCAGCCGATTACCAAAAGGAGGTCATCGCAGGAGGAGGATTCAATCCCTGCGACGTCTTCGCTTTGGCTGCTGCGGTCGACGACTCATTCATCACAAAGAAAGAAGAGGTGAGCGTCCACCTTTTTTTGTTTCTTTTTACTAACCTAATGTTGACTCAAAGCATTAAAACAGGCTCCGCCCTCAGGTGGCAGTGACTGTGGAGCTGGACGGGAGGCACACCCGGGGCATGATGGTCCTGGACTACATGGAGTTGCTGAAGAAGGAGCACAAGGTCTTCATCATGAAAACTGTGGACTTGGAGAAACTGAAGAAGATGCTGATCAACGCCGTAAAGTAGAGAGAATGTGTGACAAACATGAATTTGTCATGATCAGTGCCCCCCCCCCCCCCATCTGCTCCCTTCCCTGCCCCTTCATGACATGCCAGGTTTTCTGCCCCTCTCCTTCTTGTTTTGTTTATCCATCAGCTCCTGTCAATCTGCACTTCAAGTCTGCACATGGCACTTCTCTGTCACCTCGCCCCCTCAGCTGATTCACTGCAATCAACCTTCATGCCTCTCACCTGTTCTCTCCACTACTTAAACTCCATGCCCACACTCATTCGGCGCAAGATTATTAAACCTCCCATTGTCCCCGATTCTCAAGCCATTCATAGTTTCATGCCTGAACCTCAAGCCTTTTTATTGGATTTGCCCCTCAAACCACGTTATTGCAGCTGCTCTGCACAGGACCAGTGACATCATCGCTGCAGACTTGACAGGTGACTCTCACTCTTCATCTGCCTGTGAAGACTGTCATCTCAGCTGATCCTGACTTTGCTCCCACAGCCTATAATAAATAAAAAAAGTGTTCTTGTTTTTGCACTCCTTTGTCTGGCTATTTTTTCATTCATTCAACCTTTATTTAAACAGATAAATCACATTGAGCCTTGAAGACTCATTTACAAGTGAGACCTGTTTGGACAGACAAAAACAGTGGTTAACTGGACACATGTAGGAGTTGGAGGCGAAAAAATTCCTATCAGACTTTTCTTGGCTGATAAAAACCCCTAATATTGAAAAAACACCTCGCACAAACAAGCACATATTTACGTAGACAATCTGGATCAGAGACGAGAGCGGTCAATAACGTCTACAGATGCTCTCGAGGTCACTGTAATCAGTCAATGTCCTCCGGTGAGATCCATAAACATTCTCGAGGTATGTCGAGAAATGGCCAAGAATAATCTCTGTGAGAATCCAGAGTCCTGAAATGATGACACAAAGTTTATTCAGCTGGTTCATCTGGTTATCAGTTGGAAATTCCTCAGGGAGGGGGTGGTGAGCGTCAGATCACACGTTCTCCAGGCGACTTTAGATAAGATGACCTTCAAGGACACCAAGGCGACCAAAATTTAGATAAACACACAGTTGTTTTGGGGACAGGCAGAACTTAATGACATCAACCTTGAGTCTGTGTTGGTCCACTCGGTTCTGAAATGTCCAAATTAACATGGCCACACTGATAGAAAGTGTCTGAGTAAAATCCCCAAGATCTGATCCATTCAGCCCAAAGCATTTGAGTCTGGGTACTCCAGACATGAACCAAGCCATCATAAAGACAAGCAGCGTGATCAGGTCCAAATTTGCTGCAGACGACTTCCTTGATTGTAGATAAAACCAGCACCAGCTGAATCCAAAGAGCAGGAACCAGTTATCGTGAATCCAATTAAATATGCGTCCTTAAAATCCACAGATGGCTGCAGAGATAGACACATCATCAAGTCTTCCAGTCGATGAGATGTCCAGCTGCGTACGTGCCAACAGGGTAAATCGGCTCGCCTAAAGCCTGTCTTCTCTTCGAATAAATGTTGTAAATTGAGTTGAGGGACCAACTGGTCAGAACAAATCCATAATTATGGTTCGGAAGATGCAAGAGAGTCTCAGAGGCTCACAGCAGTTTCACAGACAGACAGAGCAGCAAAGCAAAGCGGAGAGGGAGGGAGGGAAGCATCCGATCTCGTGGGGATCGAGTGGTGAAGTGAATTTTGAATCCAAAACCCTGGTTCGTGACAGAATTCAATAAATTCACACAAAATAAAGATATTTTTTGTGTGACAATCTCTCTCACACACACACACACAAAATCTTTTAGAAGTATTCCTCCAGTTTAATAGAGCTTAAATAAATTATTTTTATGCATTACAATAAATTTTTTTTTTTTTAAATCAGCAGGTAAACTATATCAATACTGTATAATAAATATAAAAACCTTTAACAATTTTCAGTCAGGTCATCTGCACAGTTTATTTATTTTTTTTGTTGTTGAAACATTTCACCTTCCATCCAGAAGGCTTCCTCAGTCAAGGAAACACACAACACAAAACTGATTCTTCCCCCAAACAGCTTACTCCAAAGTGGAACAAACCAGTTATGTTGGTGCCAAGACGGTCTCTTTGGTACGCCCCCTCCTCTGTTGCCGGCCCTCTTCCTCGTCAACAGTCATGTCAGTTTTGTGCATTTCCTTGACTGATGATTAAAACCTTTTTATTCAGGCAGGTTTTTAATACCTAGTAGGTCTTTGACAATTTTGCTATGTTTTAATTGTAATTGTTTTTGTTTTTAACTGACTGATTTTTTTATTTATTTTTTTTTTATTCTTGTTTGTTTTTAACTTCTGTACTGTGCAGCACTTTGTGCACCTTTTGGCTGCTGGAAAGGGCTCTATAAATAAAGTTTGATTGATTGATGAAGCCTTCCGGATGGAAGGTGAAATGTTTCAGCAAAAAAAGAAACTGTCCAGATGACATGACTGAAAAATGTTGGATTGTATACCTGGATCCGCACAAAGCAACTGGCCCAGACAACATCCCCGGAAAAGTGTTGAAGGAATGTGCTGATCAGCTCTGTGAGGTGCTGGCAGACATCTTTAACACCTCACTTACCCTGGAGACAGTTCCCACCTGCCTGAAGACTGCCACCATCATCCCAGTCCCAAAAAGCTCTACAGTGACTGGTCTGAATGACTATCGGCCAGTGGCCCTCACCCCGATAGTCGCTAAATGCTTCGAAAAACTGGTCATGACTCACATCAAAACAACCATCAACATCAACGAGGACCCTCATCAGTATGCATACTGTGAGAACCGATCAACAGAGGATGCAATCTCCTCTGTGGTCCACACTGCACTCAACCACCTGGAGCAGAAAAACTCTTACGTCCGTATGCTCTTTGTGGACTTCACATCCGCCTTCAACACCATGATCCCCCAAACCCTGATGGACAAACTATCCACACTAGGACTAAGCCCCTCCATCTGCAACTGGGTACTAGACTTTTTAACAAACAGACCACAGTTAGTGAGGATCCACAACCTCTCCTCCTCCACCATAACCCTCAGCACTGGCTCTCCTCAGGGATGTGTGTTGAGCCCCCTCCTGTTTACTCTGCTCACATATGATTGTGCAGCTACCCATCCAGGCTGTCACATTGTAAAGTTTCAGATGATACAGCGGTGGTGGGATGCATCACAAACAATGATGAGTCCAGCTACAGGCAGGAGGTGGAACACCTGGAGAGCTGGTGCAGAGAGAATAACCTTCACATCAATGTGAAGAAGACAAAGGAGATGATTGTGGACTTCAGAAGGAACAAACACACCTACACCCCCCTGAACATAAGAGGATCTGCGGTGGAAGTGGTCTCCAGCTACAAGTACTTGGGTGTACACATGAATGACAACCTCAGCTGGAGCAACAACACCACCAGCCTGATCAAGAAAGCTCATCAGAGACTCTACTTCCTCAGACGGCTGAGGCGAGCTGGTCTGGGAAGCTCAGTCCTCACCTCCTTCTACAGGTGTGCAGTGGAGAGCATCCTGTGCTCGAGCATCAATGTGTGGCATGGAGGCTGCACAGCTGCAGAAAGAAAAGCTTTGCAGAGAGTGGTGAAGGCTGCACAGAAATCTGTTGGAATCAGTCTCCCCACCATCACAGACATCTACACCTCCAGATGCAGGAAGAGGGCCACCTGCATCATGAAGGACCCCACCCACCCAGCACACACACTTTTTGCCCCACTCCCCTCAGGAAGGAGGTTAAGGAGCATTAAGTGTAGAACCACTAGACTGAGGAACAGCTTCTACCCTGAGGCTGTTAGACTCATGAATCTCTAACCAGAATAATCACTGTGAAAAACCATATCATGTTGCTGCTGATCTGTTTCATGTTGCTGCTGATCTGTTTCAATGTTGATGTGTTCATGCGTGCACATCTGCTCACAGACTCATGTTCATGTTTGTGGTGATGTTCAATGTTTTATGTTATGAGTGCTTAGTGTATATTTAGTTGATGTTTTTCTTAGTTCATATCTTAGATGTTATTACTGTTTTTCTTATACATTTTATTGTTGGATGTAACTGGGACCCTGTG